AAACACGAGTCTAATCACGAAACTCGAGGCCAAATTTTGCCAAAAAAACTTGCCAAAGGTCAAATTTCATGAAACTCGATGCTGCCGAAACTCGAGGGTCCACCGTATATATATTTATTTTAGACACAGTAGTATAAGTGAATGTTTTATATGTTGAGTAAGTTTAAATGTTTTGAAGAGTGGGGGTGTGCTGTCTAGAACTTGCTTGAGTGAATATTTGTATGGCACTTTCTGTTGAGTTGTTCCAGGATTTGTATGTTACATGGCAGAAATATCCTGTGGGTAAAAATGATTAGTTTAGACAAGTAACAAAAAGAACAATTGTGAATACATAAATTTAACCCGCCTAGAGGGAGTATGCACGTTTGGATTTAGTAAGATCAATCCGGTTGACAAACATGTCATAACCCCTTTAGTGGGGATTTGTGTGACGATAAAAAGTTGACATACTAGGCGGATGGGTTGATTTAAGCTGTCAGGTTAAAACAACAGTTAATCATTTAAATGTGAGCACATTGTACTTTCCAAAAATGATTCGTAAGAGTAGTCAATACTTTGATAAACAGTGGGAATTACTGCCGAACGAACTCTAGAGGGGGATCGCCTACAGTACTACACAGTACCATTTTAGTGGGAACATAGACAACGGTGACCAATGTTTTTATCTGTGGAAAAAGTCACCGTTTTGAAGAGGGGCGTTGGATGTGCTGTAACTTGCTTGGTGCATATTCGTTATGCTTTGTTTATTCTTTTGCTTACTATGGTTTTTTGTTCATTTAGTAATAGCATAAGACAAAATTGTGTAACCCATTCTGATTAAGAGGTTTAGTAAAATACCAATAATCCTCCACAATTTAAACCTGAGATGACTGAAACAGTGGTTGACCTGGCAGACCATTAATCTCATCTGTTTAAACCTGTCCTAGTGAAACAAACAGCAAGCTTCCTCATGGGATTATACCGTCTTTTGTAGATGAGTGCTGAGATAACCCTAACTAAATCCTGTCTGAGGGTAAAAAAAAAATTGATGGGCCCCTCTTTTTACATAATTTTACAAGGGTTGTCAATGGTATGTAGAAATTTTGGTGAGAGTGAAGGGGGGGAAATTTTCTATCATATTTTTGGGGACTGTTGTGTGGTTCTTCCAGATGGGTGGGTGCCCGTTACGGGCTCGACAATAGTGACATGGTTAGTTAATTTAGTGAGCTTGTATTCTTTGGGGTCAAGGCTCTCTCCGAAACTCGTTTCAGGGGGCCAAATTTAAGAATAAGAAAAAGATTGTTTTCTCTTATGAAAGTAAGAATTTCTTTGATCTAAACACTCAAAGTGTTGAATTTGATAGATAACTAGGGAATTATCTTCGCAAAGTTGCTCTGGTGATGTTTCGCATGCGATTTTCATTTAGCCCTTTTGGAATTTTTTGATTACTTTAGTCGCAATAAACAAAATTGTGAACCTCCATTTTTTTAAATGAGGTTTAGAAACCACCCCAATAATCTAAACATTTTATACATGATGAATTTAGAAATTTGAAAATTTTTATTTTCAGGAAAAAATTAATTTCACTGTTTGCAACTACTGCATTAGTGTAAAAATTTTTTTATATGGTCATGTGGTAAACTCACAGTTGACTGTATTGATGATCGAACACGCATTTGTTTACTTTGAAGCTTGGTAAAAATCGATTTCTGCCCTTGTGAGACTAAATTTCACCGGCGATCCCATTGGTAAACCCAAAAATTTGAATTTGAATGCCTCCCTTACTCTCAAATGACCAGGTAACTTACAACATAAGTTACCATACGAAGGGTAATGTGCAAAGTCGTGATTATTTAAGAAAAGTGTGAGAAGGTTTTGTGTCTTTATGCTATTGCTTCGGGTTATTTTTTGAGTGAGCCTCTGGTGGTGGTTGCATTTCATAGTGGGTCCTACTGCTTCTACAAAATACTTTTGGGCCGCTAGAATTTTGAGTACGACTCATAACCCTTCGCGTAAGAGTACTGTATTTAACCAATTTTTTCATTATCCGAATTAATTTTCCCCATAAGAAATAATGGAAATCCAATTAATCCATTCCAGACACCCAAAAGTATTAAACAAAAAATTTTTTACGTGAAATACACATTTCCCTACACAGAAAACAATGAGACATGCAGAATAAACAATACTGAAATGACACTTACCTCTATTGAAGATGTATTGATGAGTGATGAGATAGGAGGAGGGCAAAGGATGAATGATTTACAATTGTTTGGAAGGTGAATCCCCTTCCATAAAGACTTCAGGTAATAAGTCCTTTTCTGGGGTTACCTCCCTTTGTTTTTTAATGCCACTAGGACCAGCTTGAGTCAGTGGACCCCTGTCACACCAAAAATTTGTTCAGAGAGCTCGTTTCTGGCATCTCTTTAAGATTTCCCTAAAATGGGACACAACATTGTCATTGTAGATGTTGCCAGCACGATCTGCAACAGCTGTGTCAGGGTGATGTTCATCCATAAATGTTTGCACATAAGAAAGGAACACTGCAGCAGGCCTGTTGCAGATGAATGATTCAGAGAACCAACACGTTGATAAATTAGACACATGTGCAACTCTTGGGTATCTTTATTGAGGAAATGTTTTGCCACACAGTGGCTTCATCAGTCCATACATAGGAGAAACTTTAAGAACAGGAGGAGAATGAAGTAATCAGTCCCTCAACCTTGAGTCAATGTGGTCAGTCCATCAATCTTGAATAGAATACGGCATATGTGCGGAGAAGCAGCTTATAAACCGTAGGCAGGAGAGGTGCAGCAGTCATAGGTGGTGTCACATTTGTCCAATGTGGAAGTAGGTCATGCCCAAGGGTTAGGCAAGCGAAGAATTCCCAATAAAGATACCCAAGAGTTGCACATGTCTAATTTATCAACGTGTCGGTTCTCTGAACCATTCATCTGCAATCCTGTCAGACACTGCAACTTCTTGGGATCTTAATGCTTGGGAATTCTTCGCTTGCCTAACCCTTGGGCACGACCTACTTCCACATTGGACAAATGTGACACCACCTACAACTGCTGCACCTCTCCTGCCTCCGGTTTACGTATAAGCTGCTTCTCCGCACATATGCTGTATTCTATTCAAGATTGATGGACTGACCACATCGACTCAGGGCTGAGGGACTGATTACCTCATTCTCCTCCTGTTCTTCAAGTTTCTCCTATGTATGGACTGATGAAGCCACTGTGACAAAACGTTTCCTCAATAAAGATACCCAAGAGTTGCACATGTCTAATTTATCAGCAGGCCTGTTGGCTCATACTAGGCAGGTAGTTCACAAACCATCCCACTAACAGAATCGTATTTGCCCAACCCAATTTTCAATGCTTCCCAAGCAATAAGCTTTGATAATTCTGTTCACTCAGGTGCAGGTCCCAATCAAATTTAATCAAGTGTGTAGGGAACTACCCTGTCTGGTATGTGGGGAAGTACCCTGGCTGGTATGTGGGGAAGTTCCCTGACTGGTGTGTGGGAAGTACCCTGGCTGGTATGTGGGGAAGTATCCTGGCTGGTATGTGAGGAAGTACCCTGGCTGGTGTGATGAATGGTTTGAAAAACCAACAAGTTGAAGATTGAGACACTTATGCAGCATATGGGAATCTTTATTCAGGAAATGTTTCGCCACACAGTGGCTTCATCAATCCAATACAAAGAGGAAGGCATAAGGAGAGGAGGAGTATGAGGTAATCAGTCCCTCAGCCTGGAGTCGATGTGTTCAGTCCATCAATCTACAAGATTGTGGGGAAGTACCCTGGCTGGTGTGTGGGAAGTACTCACTGGTGTACATAAGAAAGCAGGAACACTGCAGCAGATCTGTTGGCCCATACTACCACCCTCTACCACTACCACTTTCATATCTTTCTACAAACTTTTTCTTTAATTCTATAATGTTTCTCACCCTCTTTACCACAGGGCTGGCACTACAAGCTTTCTTTGAGCCCATGGTGGCTTATTTAGCAGTTACAAGCACTGAAAACAATGGAATAATACAAAATATATTGCATGTTCACTTGGAATTGTCCTCCCTGGCTTGTAAACAATGGCACGCTGGCTGTACATGGAGTGTCCGGGCCACTCACGCCGCACTGACACATTCAGGATGAATGTCCTTCACTGAGTTCTTTTTTGGTAACCGAACCAATATTTTGACGCAAAAACGTGTCGCTATCCGATTTTTTCGTTATCCGGTGATGTTGTTACCGAGGGTCCTTTGTACTAACATTTCCATGATTTTTTTTCTCTCTAATCTTGTACTACTCTACGTTTTTAGTAAGCGCAACACTTGTAAGCCTACTGGTTTATCAGTAGGTCCCTGTGTACATTTGCCGTCCAACACAATATGGCTTTTACCAAAATATTTTTTTCCTCCAGTTTGTAGAAAATGTTAGTGATCAAGTTGTATATTAATTGTTTTAGTGTGTTCTTTGGCTGGTTTTATGACAAGTATTGTGGACCACCGACAACCCCCCCCCCCACACACACACACGCACATACTCACAAGAACACAGCTTGTTTGTAAGTCATGGGTTCGTATAATGGCTCACATTTATGCAGAGGCAACTCAAATGTCTTAATAATGATATCGTACAGTGCCATGTCTTTTCACACCTGTTCTTTGAAATAATTGGCTTCCAGCTTGAGATATCTCCATGGAACCTATTTTAATTTTGGGACACCTGCTGCAATTCTTCAGTATTGGTTTACAAATTTCATCAGTGATGTAAGAGGAAATTTTTATGTCCAGAAGAGGTATGCCAGACAAGAATCATAGCAGAGAAAGAGTATTCTGAACTTGGTAATGACAGCATTGTGCAGTACATGCTGAATAGTAAGCTGCTACATGTATATGTCTTCCAAATGTTTATAATATAAGCTACATCCATTGAATTTATAAATAAAAATTATAAACCAATACAAAAATTTTCCATTATTATTTTTTTTTAATATCAAATATTTTCTTACAGGTTATGGACCTTCAAGAGTTTACTGTACTGGATGAAGTTGGAGATGAAGATGCACAAGTAAGAAATGTAGACACACATTTTAAGCCATCTACAGCAGCAGAGGAAATTGATTATTTGAATAAAATTCTTGCAGACATTGAGAAAAATGCTGGAAGTTGCAAAAAATATCCTGGTAGTGGTAATAATATTGAAGGACAAAGTTTAGAAAATAACAACAGCTCAGATTGCAACCTTCTGAGTGATGGAAATAGAGAAGGAACTGTTAACATGCAACAAAATTCTTTCGAGAATGGCAGCCATGATGAACTGAAGCCTAATTCTCATGCTAGTGCCGAAAAAAAGTGTGGGTGTGATTTTGATGAACAGGGTGCTGGTAGTGACAATGAAAATAAATATATCTTCCAAGTGAAAAGATGTATTTCTCAAGGTTTTGATATGCCCCATGCTGATGATGATGTGACTCAAGGTTATCATGTATCTACCTCTAACACAGATAGTGGCCTTTTACAAAGTGGACTTAGCACTGAACCCAATCTTATGACTGCAGACCCAGTCACAAAGTCAGACAGTAATTCTACTCAAAACATTAATGCATGTCATTCAAACCGAGATGCTGATCTTGGGGAAGATTTAGAATATAATATTGGGCCCATCAGTTTGGCAGTATTGAACGAGTCTGGGAGCTCAGAGCTAAGACCTATTACAACTGATGGCACCACTGCAGTTCCAATTAATACCTCAGATTGCAGGTCACCTGTGCTTGAGTCTCAACATTATTCAGCAAGGGACACTTCAAATAATTATCTTTCAGGTGAGGATGTTTCAGGATTAACTGATGCAAAAAATTCAGCCAATGATTTAAAATTTGACAGTGTTATACCTGGAAACACTGGCAATCCCTTAGAAAATTCACAGGAGCCAGGTTTTGCAATTCAGAGTACAGAGTCAGATTTATTTCAAATAAAAATTGATCTTGCATTAGTGAAAACAGAACCTGTCACTGTTGATCCTGCAGAAGAATTTGAATTTGTAGGCTTTATGAGTGATCCAGCAGAAGACTTTAGAGTGAAGGAAGAATATAAACTTGAAGAAGAACCTACAGATTTTTCATCAGCAATATTTGATCAGTCGGTTGATTTGTTTCCTGTTAAGATATTTAAAAGTGAAGATGAGTTTCAAAATGAGCCACATATAGTTCACAGTGTAAGATTCCTTGTTGAAGATAAACATTACAGCAGGGAGCAAGTAACTTCAGCCCATTTTATCTCACAATCTTCACTTGCACCTGTTATTGATATGAATATGTTTCAGAATGTAGGGAAAACCACTTTGGCATTGAATCTAATCAGCTTAGAAGATTTGATTCATAGTCCTAGTCAGGTTCGTCTGGAGGATGTTGAGATTCTTAGCTTGTTTGTTAAAAATTATGGTAGCTCATTCTCGGAATGGAAAAAAATCTTCAAATATAAGACAAATAAAAGAAAACTGGCAGGACCTCGTAGGAGAGCCAGTAAAAAAAATAGTCCGAAGAGAAAGAAATCAAGGAGAACTGAGGCATGTGTTAAAAGTTTGCACTTAAATGAAGCAGGTGACTCACTTTATTGTAATAATGATGGCTCTGATTCTAGGGAGAAAAAGTATATGGAAGTACTCTCTAATGAGAAAAATAAAAAGAAAAAAAAGAGGAGGCATAAGAGTCATACAAAACAGAATAAACAGATTGCAAAAACTGAAGAGAATTTGGTTAAAGAGAATTTAGATGACATTAAATTAGTAGCATTATATCAAGATAATTCCTGTGCATCAACTGGCTTGGCTAAAGTATCTGATTTTGGTGGTATACAGAAACAACAAGTGCTGCCTAAAGAAAAAGATGTTGAAAAGATGGAAACAGAGTCGAGGCACAGTCAATGTGATACTTCGTCCATTGAAGACTATGAAGTTGAGGCCAAACCAGTCAATAAATTGGTGTTAAAAGCAGAAGAGAATTGGGTTAAAGTGGATGCAGATGACATTAAATTAAAGTCATACATTAAAGTGTTTAGTCAAGGTAATGATAATTCCTGTGATTCAGTTGGTTTGGGTGAAGAGTCACATTGCATTGGGACACAAAAACAAGAACTGCATGATCAAAAGAATGTTCATGTTCAAGAAACAAATACAGAGAGTCCTAGCCACTGTGAAGTTTTGCTGAATGATAATTTCATCAAAGTTGAAGCCAAATCTGACATAATCACTGTGCCTATTATCTCTGAGGAAATTATTGAGGATTCTGTAAGAAAGAAGTATAACAGCCATCAATTAATGAATGCAGAAGCTGAAAAGAATTTGGTTAAACAGAATTCAGATGACACAAAATTAGAAGCAGTATTACATCATGATACTGATAAGTCCTGTGATTCAACTGGTTTGGATAATGGGTCTGAATGTGATAAGACGCAAGAACTGCATAATCAAAAAGATGTTCAGAAAACAGATACACAGAGTCCCAGTCATTGTGCAATTTTGCCAAATGAAGGTAAATTTATCAGAGGTGAGGTCAAATCTGGTGTGAGTAATATGACTATTAGTCCTCAATGGACCATGGATAATTCTCTGACTAGTAATTTCTTGGATGTTCCAGTGACTGAAGAAAATATATTGGAAAAATCAGGTGATATGCCTTGCATAACCCAGAAGCATGTGGAGCCACCTGAGAAAAAGGCCAAAAAAGAAATTGGTAGAATAATTTTAAATGATTGTAAGCCATGTACCGTCAGTTTGTTGGATATAGCAAAGGACAAAAAATATAAGAATATAGTTGAAAAGTATTTAAAATTGTTGTGCAAAGAAATAAAATCTCTGACGCTACCAGATCTTGTAAAATGTGAAGACAAGCAAATATTTGCCTGTAAGTCAAGTGACCTCCCTACAAGTCTTAGAACCGATAGAGCCTTAAATATTCAGCTAGCGTCAAAATTTACAGAATTGGATGATCATCATAAAGGAGAGGATGAAAATACAATGAAGAGTTCTAGCTGCTCAAACAGAATAGTTGAAAGTGAAGATGAACCAGTGCATGTTGAGGAGGAGGAAGGCTATAATATGGGAAGTAATAGTGACCATAACATTGACAAAAGCGTTGAGCTTGTTACTGCAAATGAAAGTGAAAGTTTGAAACCAGGAGAAGAACATACAGACTATAACCAGGATAGTTGTAATTCTCTTGTTCAGGAAGAGTTTGAAAAAGAGAAGGTTTATGGAAATGAAATTTTCACAGCTGCCAGTGAAAAGAGGGGAGACTGTGATAAAGATAATATATATTATGTTGATAAAAGCTTGAAATCTGAAGTTGAAACTTCAGTAGTTGGCAGATGAAAATAGAGAAGAAAAGATAAAAACCCCTAAGGATGCAATAGATAAAGAGTTAAAGTTGATAAATAAGGATAAGACTCAAGGCAAAATGGAATCAACAAGGGAAGAGAGAGATAAATTGAAACGGAGAGAGAAGAAAAAGTCAAAACAAGAGAGAACATTCGAGATAAACACAAAAAAGGAACCAGAAGATTTTAAAAGAATTAAAAGAGAAAAGACAAGAGTAACTGAAAATAAAATGTATTGTCATACTAAATGGAAACAGGAGAAGATCAGGGAGAAGGAAAAGAAACTTAAAGAACTGGAGCAGAAAAGAAAAGTTGCTGTTCATCATGGATTTAGCAAATTGGAAACCATAGAAAATGATTCCATCAGCAAGGAAAATGTGGCTGCTGCTTGCACTTCTCTGCCATCTATTACCACATTCAAGTAAGTTTAATGCAGCCATATTGCATTTTTATTGACATTTTTATATTCACTTTGGATATCAGATGACATTTTTGTATTCGTTAGTTTAAATACAAATTTTTTTTATTCTTTTGTTTGTCTTCTTTTCAGGATCCCAAAGAAGAAAGTTGTGGAAACAAGAGGCTCTGATGGTGATAAGCAAAATTTAGTTTTATCAAGAAGGAAAGAAATTCTTGGACCAGGAAAAGTCTCTAGTTATTACTCACACAAGACCTCTGGAAATGATGACAAGAATCGAAGTTTCAGTAGGGAGTGGAATTCTAAGGAAAATTGACAATAAAAACCCAACAAAAAGCTCTTGAGACGGGATTTAAAAACAAAAAAAAAAATTTGGAAAAATTTGGAAAAAGGGGAAGCTTCTCACATCTCAGGACAAATATGTAGTGGGGGTAGTCCTCATGCAGCATTTTAAATGAAAACCCTGGATAGGGACTTAAAAACTACAGCACATCCACAATGGACAAAAAAAGAAGACCCCTTTATCGGTTTCCCATCACCTGTAATGGATAAACAGTGTAGATGTCTGATTATAGTGCTGTTAACCTGAAGGAAGGGATCTAAACATGATAATAGCTAATATCGAAAATCGAAAGCACAGTGAAAACCCAAAAGGAAGCCAGAGCTAATGTGCTTTTAAATGTACCCCCACCCCAAATTTTTTGATAATTGGGGTATGATGCCCAGTAAAAATGTGTTGAAATTACAGATGTATTTAATGTGGTGAATTTAGCCCTGCGAATCTTCTGCTAGCCACAAGAGTCATCCCATGGGATCAAAGAGCCTGACCCTAAAAAAAAATTTTGAGCCAATTTTTTAAGTGATAACAAAATGTAGTTCAGATTCAGGGAAATAAAATCCATTAGCTGGAAATGAGAAGCACAAAAGGGACCCAATGATACAATTCAACATCATGCTGGAAATAAACAATAGTAATGGAACAAAAGTCGAAAGATAAGGGATGTAAAAACGGGTTAAAACCCGTTGAAGAACGCTGCCCTCATTTGGATAAAAAACAGAAAATAAGGCTCTATGAGAAAGTAAAAAGATTTTACTATGAGGCTAAGAAAAGATACCATGAGGAGAAAGGAGAGAAGAAACAAATGAAGTATGTGGAGTATGAGAAAAGAAAAAAAGAGTATTACGACTTGAAAATATATCTGTATGAAGAGAAAAAGAGAGAATATGAAGCAAATAAAAAGAATCAGAAGGAAAACTTGTCCAAAAGTAGGAATGTTCGCCAGAGTTCTAAACCAAAGGAAAAAGGCTCAAAACAGATATTGGAGCCAGTGTCAACACTTAAAACAAAAACACCTCAAGATAATACAGAAGACATTGGTTGTGCTAATTCAGAGAAAGAGGATCCATATTCTCCTACTGGCTCACCAATATTACTCGATCCAGAATTTTCTGATATCAATGTCAGAGCAAGCTTATTGGATCAGACATTACCCTTTGTGAAAAAACCATCATTTTTGGAACAGTCAAAACAAGAGAATGAAATAAAAGGTACACCAGCTGATGATTCCAACGAGTTGAAACACACTTCAGCTCCTCAGACAACTGGTGTAAATTTGAGTGGCAGTGCTCCTCACAAGAATTATTTACCAGCAAATGGCATGTCATTGGGTGCTACATCCAATTCTAATATTACTAAACTTTATGATAAAGTGCCTGGCATACCTGTACTACCAAGTAAATCATCTGTAGTAGTACCTCCACATGACAAATCAATGCCATCTGCATCATTATTTCCTTCACCTCTCGTACAAAATGCATTGCCATTACCCGTTCCACCTCCCCAGCCAAGTTCGTCACACTCATCCTTTCCACCTCAACCATTGAGTAAGTTTACATCACCAGTTCAGAATACTCAAGCTAGGCTGACAGTATCAACTACCTCTTCATTTCCCAATGTATGTGGTGCACCAGTTTCACCCTCAGTGAACACTGCTTTGTTGTTACCTGCCACACCATGCGATCGTGTGGCAGCACCATCTTCTCCAGTTGTCTCTCTTCCTTCTTCATCTGTAGATACAGTTGTACCTATTCCCTGTTCATCTGCACCCTCTGAAGCAACAGCACAGTCAAGCAAGATGCTTTCCTGCAGATATAAAAAATCTGGGCCTTCAGACACTCCATTAGTATCAACAGTAATTAAGAAGCAACAGCAGCTACCAGTTGACCTTGTTCCACCACCTCTCCCACCTGATAAACTTTTTGCTCTAGTGGGATATAATCTAGCAGTAAGTGAAGGTGAACAGAACTCTACTCTAGATGACACCCTAGAAGTTCCTATGGATATTGAATCTGATAGTGAAATATGTAACAATGAAGGGAATGACACTGAATATCTTGCCACATTTGGTATTTGCGTAGATAATCCATCAGTAAATGAACCGCAAGTGTGTCAGACACATGCTGCCAATTCTAATAAAACTGGTAAGAGTTTAAAGAAAGTGTTAATAAAACTGATGGAAACAACAAAGGAAAAAAAGCTAGTCAAAAGTTCTCATAGAAATAAAAAGGAACATGAGCAAAAGCAGGAAGTAAAGGAAGTTATTAGTAATGCATCAGAAAATAGCCATGCAAGCACTGCTACTGCAGGTAGCCAAGTAATAATCCCAGAAACATCTGACTCATCGAACTGTTTGGAAATTAATGAAGAAGCAGTGGATGCGAGTGACATAAAAGTGAATATCAAAGAAACCCCTAAAAAGTTATTTTGTGTAGATGAACTTCTGATGTCTGTAGAAGCTGCTGATCAGCAGTCTGAGCTGCAGGTTGTCTTCTCGAATGTCCAGAAAAGCTGCAGCAACAAGATGCTCTTTAGGGTAAGTAATATTTGTATGGTGTATCTATGCATGTGGATGTCTTGTATACAGTACAGTTTATGAAAGTGTGTGTATAATTACCAATTTGTGGCTACAGGAGCAGGGGTACTCGTGGTGTCCTGCACTCGGTATTAATGTATTCGATTTGTTAAAATCCAATGGCATTAGGTCTTAATACTTCTTGCAACCCATACACTTAGGTTGTTTTGCAGTGTACTCATGGAACCCCAGTATTTCATTGTAGGTATTTTGCACTGTCTGCTGAGCCTCTTATTTTGTAGGGAGTGTTTTCTCTTTGAAAGCTCAGGACCAATCCCTATTTTGTAGGGAGTGTTTTCTCTTTGAAAGCTCAGGACCAATCCCTATTTTGTAGGGAGTGTTTTCTCTTTGAAGGCTCAGGACCAATCCCTGTTTTGTAGGGAGTGTTTTCTCTTTGAAGGCTCAGGACCAATCCCTCTAGATTTTTTAATTCTCCCCTTTGTTCCAAGGATTACAGTCAAGAGACTTCAAGCATTTCCAGTACTTTTGGTGTTTGAACTTGTACAAACAGTGAGGGCTCTGTACATTCTCTAGATATGCAGTTTTGTGCACCTTAAAAGGAAGGAGCTGCTAGTGTGCAGCAATATTCCAGCTTAGAAAACAAGTAACTTAAGCCTTTCAGGGCTTCTGACGTACTAGTATGGCTTACGCACCGAGGTTATTGACATTCTAGAACACCTAAATTTAGTGCCTTCAAATCTAGCGAGAGAAAGTTGGTAGGCCTTCATATGAAATAATGGGTCTATATGGTCAGTGTGCATGGTATAAAAAAAAATCCTGCATAATGAAAAAAAAAAAACTCCGACCGTGTTTTTGGTTTAAAACTGACTGCAGTGTATTTTTCGTATGGTATTTATGGTTGTATTCTAGTTTTCCTGGCCTCATTTTATAGAATTGAAGACATATTACAGGAATTGAGATGATTTTAATTGGTTTCATAATGAAAAGTACCTTGAAATAGAGCTCGAAGTAGCAGAAATGTTCGATTTTTACCAAATTTCAAAAGTAAACAAATCATTCCAAGCTTCCAATACACATCAACTGGTGAGTCTAATATTCTTTCACAAGTGCACCGATATTATTTATACCATTTCTACACTAATGCAGTAGTCTGCATAACAGTAAATCTTCTATTTTTTGTGAGAATAAAAATTCAAAGTGGAAAGCAAAAGAGATGCAAGAGGGGCTTGGGGACATGACTAATGAACAGAGAAAATGTTATTTTAGTGCCAGCAATGTCTTGTCTTGCTTATTCTGGACCCTATTTGGAAATTGGCATCTTCTGAAATGTGTGTGAAATTGGCAAATTTGCTAATTTCTGACCACTTTATTGGATACTTGACATCGGTAAATAGGTGGTTTCTTGTACTCATTCGATAGAAAAAGTGGAGTTCTAGCGAAATAGATACGATTTTTGTCGACTAATACACTGAAATTGGCCAAAAATAGGGCTCAAAGTGGGCGAAATCGCCAATGCGTAAACATCGCTGAGACCGCTAACTTCGTGAAAGCATAATTCCGTAAGATTTCCATCAAATTTCATACTTTTGGTGTCATGATCAGGAAAAGATTCTCAATCATTTCACAAGAAAAATTTTTATTTTTTCTGAAAAATTTTCGACCAAGAACGAGTTTAGGAGAGGGCCTCTCGACCCTGAAAGAGTTAAACTGTCCAAACATAGACCTACATTCACTCGCATAGCTCTCCGAACGTAGATCTACTTTTTTTTTTACATAAAGCGTGTAAAATCGAACGTTGATCTATGTTCGGAGCACTATGCGAGTGAACATAGATCTACATTTCGACAGTTTAAGGGTTAAAGAGGATCATCATTGCCTCGACTTACCTTGATTTGAAGATTCTCATTATCCATCTTTTTATTTTCCTTACATTTGTGATATTGACACTGTTGTGAACCTTGAAAGTGATATCCTCTGATATTATTACCCCTAAGTCCTTCACATTAGTTTTTCACTCTGTTGAGTGGTTAGAATTAATTTTATACTTCTTTCTAGCTTTTATTTCCTCGGTTGTTCTATAATGGAGTAAATAAATTTGTCTTCATTGAACATCATTTTGTTTTCTGTGGCTACTGGAAGACTTTGTTTGTATCAGCTTGAAGATTGCTGTCCTCAGCATATGTCATTTATGTAAATTCTAGTGTCATCTGCAGAGGATGATATGGTGCTAAGGTTTATGTCTCTTCCTATGTCAGATGTGATGATAAGGAAAAGGATGGGGACAAGTACTGTGCCATGGTGACTATAACAGCCTCTGTTTACTATCACAGCATATTCTATGTCATAAAGTTGAAAAATCAATCTGCCCACTTTTCTAGTTATTCATTTTACACACATTTTATGTGCTATTACACTGTGGTTGCACTTGATGAAGGCTTTTGGGAAGTCTGTGTATATTACACTCTAAATGCAAAAAAAAATTTAGGAGTAATCTAAAGCTAAGACAACAAGCCATGAGTGTTTGCAATAAAGTGAATAGAATTCTTGACTTCATATCAAGAGGTATAAATAACAGTCCTCTGGTTATACTTCAACTCTATATATTGTTGGCTTGGCCTCATTTAGATTGTGCTGCTCAGTTTTGGTCACCGTATTACAGAATAGACTTGAATGTGCTGGAAAACATGTAGAGGAGGATGACAAAGTTGATTTGACATATCAGAAGCTTTTGTATGAGGACAGACTGAGGGCACTGAATCTGCATTCCCTAGAAAGGTGTAGAATTAGTGGGTATATGATTGAGGTGTATAAATGGAAAACAGGAATAAATAAATGGAATGTAAGTGTAATGTGCTAAAAATATCTAGCCAAGATAAAGAAAGGCTTATGCATTAGACATACTGGTTGATAGAGATAAAGAGACAATCATACACAGTGGAATCTTGTTAACCCAAAGCCAGTTAAACCAAAGATTTAATATCCCATGATGAACACTTCATAATGGATAAACCATATTTGACTTTCCCCCAAAGTACTTGTAAGAGCCATGTGGTTTTTCTTGACTCATAAATGTGTTGTTTGCATCCTGAGCAGGTATACATTTGATTAAGTTTGTTTTGTTATCTTCATTTTACTATGAAGGTATGGTTACTAACTATTGTATACAACAGTCTGGGCCTACTGGTAGTACAGCAAGTAAGGAGAAAAATACCTGTAGTCACCCCAGTGCACCTCATAACTCGAGTGAAATACTTTCTCTCGTATGTGCTATAAGGTTGAGGCACTAAATGAATTAGAGGTGCGAGTGTCAAGCAGATAATACAAGAGTATAACAGTGTTAGACAAACAATATGATTTAAAGAGACAAATATAAAATTTTTACAATACAGTAAATTTTTTACAACTTTTCACATGCATAAAAAATTGTGATCCTTTTAGCAAAGATGTGGCTAACACTTTGTATATAGATTTCACAAGATTTGCAGGCAACATATACCTTTCTGGGCTGATTTTGATCAAGAAAGCATAGCAGTACTAGCAAGCGTTGAACATTGAAAAGGCGTGTGAATGTATTCTTTTGAATATTCCATTAGACTAGTTAAACAGGTTTAGGAAATCCTAAAGGATCTTTAAGCTTCAAATTTTTTCGGAAAGAAGAAAAGTCTGTCGATAATTTGCACTGTCCACCTATCCCCATGCTTAATATTCTCAAAATTATACATACTGCAGTGCCATATTTGATAAAGACAAAATAGTGTGTGGTAGGTACTTTTTCAGTGTTTATTTTTATTGTACACTTTTTAAAAAGTGTACAAAAGTTTTTTTGAATGATAGTGATTTGAAAACATTGATAGATTACTGCAGACAACACCAGTGAAACCTACCAAATTGCAGTGTATACCATACATTATTAAAAATCTTATTTCCATGGAATAAGGTTGTTTTATTGTTAGTGACCAATAAGAAATATGAGAGATGGCAAATAATTTACAGTTGAGTAAAATTAACTGCCAGGTTGTCATTGAAGTGAGTACTTTAGGTTAAACAAGTACTTGAGTGAGAGTGGCTGGGTGTGAGTAGGACATGCTTACCATGGGCTTGTAAGCCTTCTGCAGAGCTGCTTTATTTTTGTGTCTTTACAGTACAGTATACACTGTACATAACACTCGTCTTACTCATTTGTTTCTTTCTTTGTTGAAATGGCTACTATAGTTGTAATTCTACAGCATTTGTTGCTGGTGGTGATAGCAAGTGATCACTCTTATCTTGCCCTCACACATCATCTCTCAGAATCTAATGCCAGATGTGCACATGCTCATTAGTTTCTCAATGTATATATTATACTGTTCGCTTCTGGGGATCAAAGCATTCTTAATGTTACTTCACTGATATATTGCAGCCTTAATAAACTGTATGCAGCTGGTAGCATTAGCCTAATAAACAAAGTTGGCAACTTCTTTCATCCCAAGTGCAGATGCCATATCATTCCAAGCTGAGATTAAAAATGAAAAAAAGTGGATTTTTTATAGTACAGTATGTGTTTGCCACAGTTGATGAAAGTTGTGATGATTGCTGGCACCACACAAAGTATCTTTCTTATGAATTTCAATATAAACCAGCATAGAATATTTAACCCTTTCACTGTCCAGACATCCGAAGTTAACACTGCTTCCAGTGTCCACTTTTTTTAAAAATAAAAATCTTTTATTCTGAAATGGTAGAGAATCTTTTTTCTGAAGGTAATGACACCTAAAGTAAGAAAGTTGAAGGAAAATTTACGGAATTATGCAGGCACAAGGTTAGCAGTCTTGGAGCAATTGATGCATCTGTGATTTTTGCCAACTCTGAGTTCAATTTCAAGTCAATTCCACTGTTTTATTCAACCAGATTTTTAGCTATTTCACTAGTATGCCTTCTATTCTATCGTTTGAGCACAAAAAAATCACCCATTCAGTTATTACAGTTATTGCACACAAGTTGGTCATTTGGCCAATTTTACA